TCCCGTCCTCTGCGCCGCCGCCCCCTACAGGGCAACCAGAGCGGAACACCACCAAAAAAAAAAAAAAAAAAAGACTGTGCCGCCCTAGGATTGGGCGGAATGCCGCCTCCTACAAGCTGCCGGCCCAAGCACCAGCTTGCTTGGCTGGTGCTTGGAGCCGGCCCTGGCTGCAATGTTGCCAACTCTCATGATTTTATTGCAAATCTCATAATTTGACATTTATTTTAAAGTCCTAGCTTCTGGAATCATGTGATAATGTGAGAATCTCAGCTTTAAAAAAACGTTTCTAGACCTCATGGCTGAAGAGAAAAGATTGAAAACGTGAACCCTAAAAGCTCAAAGCCAGAAGGCAAATAAAACCCTGCCACATATATTTTTTTTAAATCTCAAGATTTTTAAGGCAGTCTCGTGATTTTTGAACATTCACATGTGGCAGTACTGCTCCAGCCCCCTGTTCTCCCAAAAGTGAAGTAGTTCCTCTCTCCAACTTCACTAATTAAGTCCCATAAACAGGTATCCAGCAAGAGTCCACACTCCAGCTGAGAAATGTTACTTTGTGTTAACACATTCAAAGCCAACATAAATTAGAACTTTACTTTAAAAAAGCATGTAGTAAGCTTGCGAAGATATTGGTCCCAATCTTGATGTGACACATTTTACAGGGATGGAATTTACACAGATGAAAATGAGATGGGATTCAGGCCCATTAGGTGTAGATAATCTGTGAAGGCAACAAAAATGTATAGCTGTCTTCATAACATATGTTAATTAAGCCAGAACTTAAGAGTTGTACGGTCATGCTCCTTGACATTGAGTTCTACCATTATGGCAAGAGCACAAATAAGGCCATATTTATGTTACCTTTAAATGATACAATATTTAATGTTTAAAAGTAGAGATATAAACCTTTCTAAAAGTGCACATTGCAATTTCTCCATCAAAACTGTACCAAGTCATTTTCAGGCCTAGAGCTCATCACAGTACAAGTATTTGTGGAGCAGCTGGTAGTAGAGCTGAAGTTAAGTAGATCTGCATTTCAACTATAAATCACAGTTTTAAGAGGTTTATAGAAAAGCTGTCAAAAAAATCCCATACACATTTTAAGATGAAGCAAAAAAAAAATTAATATCTGTTCCAGGGAAAAAAAGAAGTGGCCCATTTTAAGTAATAATAAATAATGATAACAACAAAATTAATAGGTTTGGGACACTGATTTTGTACTCCTGCAATGCAGAGACTAAAAATGCTCAAGCACTATATACCTCTATGGAGCTATATGTTTATTAATAATAACGGCATTGAAAAGCTGCCTTTCTAAATGGAACATTTATTCAGAAAGAACCATGTTTACAGCCCTGGCTGTAACACAATCTGCAAATAAGTAATGTCAATTAGCAATGTACCTTCTGGTAGTGAATTCAAGGGTGAGGTCAATGCATATAACAAATAAAAATTCAAAAACGTTTCCTGGATATTGATCAAACAAAGGCTGACTAACATACTTTCCCAAGTAAATAGCTAAAATCATTCTTTTAGCATTTCAGAAGATGACCACATTCATCTATTACATACACTTCCCCCTATGGGCTGGAAATTTCATCAAAGTTGGAAAAACATTTAATATGTGTGAAAGATGCAGAATTGACAGTACTGGGAACTGAAAACCTTAATACAGCCACACAAAAGTACAACAGTTGTACAAGTTTTTCACCTCACTTCAGCCAGTTCATCAACTCTGATTTGTAGGGATAACCTCTACTTTGGAGGGAAAGGGACTTCTAATCTCCAGGCTATTCTATCCTCGTCCTCTCTGCTGAGACCATTAATAAGTGTACAAAAACACCAGCACATGGACATGTGTCCCCCAGGAATGTGACAGATGACCAACAGATTTTATACAGGCTAATAAATAGTCATTAGATGGTAGTGAGTGTTATCCACAACTAACCTCAACTGGATCTGAACCAGTCACAGACTCATATCCCCCTTTTAGTTCGATGGGCCACCCTCCACCCATATGTGCATGGGTGTATGCATACAACCCATCTAGAAATCTCAATTATTTGTGAAAGGGCAACTGTAAAAGGACTATTCAGAAGAATTAAAAAAAATAAATCTAGTGATCTAATCCAATAAATCTGAAACACCTGTCTTCCAACACCAACCATTATCCATGACTCAAATTGCTGAACCATTGAGTCTCTCAACAATTTCTTTGAACTGGGTAGCAATACTTTATCTATTAAGGATCTTTACACAAGACAGCTCAACTTGGCTGACATCAAATACAGTACAATGAGGCCCTGTTTCAATTAACTTTAAACCTTAAGCCAAATCCATCTTTTTCCCCCTCCAGCTCAACATTATCCAATTATCTGTAATTTTACTAAATTGCATATACAGAAAATAATTTATTTGGCATTGTATACTACACACTTCTAAAATACACTAACAGTTGTTTTGAGACACAGTCTAGAAAGAAACATCCAGGGATGCTCTAAGGACCCACCAGGTAAGTCACACAAGGGCACTGAGGAAGAGCAGTTTAACTGTAACTCCACAGGCGTCCTTGAGATACTCAGCAAATGGCCAGCATTCTGACAATATGAACACTGCACCTTCTTTACAAAGCCAACTCTCAGACATAGGCACAATGAATTACCACAGGAAATAATGTGATGCACATTATAAAACCACAAATAAAAGGTGAAATTATTCAACAAGGAACTCTACCAACATGATGGAGAGTATTTAAGTTTAGATTCCTTGCAGCCAGAACCTTCTGACAGAATTTTCTTTCACACCAATCTTTAGTATAACATTGCAGAAAAGATGGCTGAAGCAGACTCTGCATAGAGAATTTCATTATTTGCTGTAATTACAATAGACTTATAACAAAAATGATAATTGCTGAATTAGTATTATTCTTTGCTAAGAAAAAAACAAATGAGGTTTGGTGGGTTTTTTTATTCTGTTTTAAACCAGAATAACACAATAGTCAGTAAAAACAAGAGACCACTAGGTCACTGGTTCAAACGACTGATGGTCCCTTTGCTCCACCCACACATCCTGCTCATTCTTTCCCTTAGAAACCTTCTCATTTTCATATTTCATCCTATATACCCCTTATGCTTCTAACAGTTCTATTCAGACACACCAAATGCCCTCTCTTTTCATTGAAATCCTTCCTCAAAACCAACTTCTTATGTAAAGTTTTTCACCAATAATCCAAAATAGAAAGATATTGTGTGTGTGTGTTTTTTAAAAAGGAGAAAAAGAGCCACTGTTTTGAGACTGTATCTCACCTGGTTCCCTAGCATGTTGTGTGTCTGTATTGTAGGTGAGACATAGATTGTAAGTCTTTTTGGGAAAGGTCCATTTCTTTCTCTGTATATTTTCAACACTCAGCAATAATAAATTCAGTGCAAGTCAGTAGCATCTGAAAGACATCTTCTGTACAGTGGCCTACCTGAAATGACAGGTGTCCACACTATAGTTTGCACTAACTTGTACTCTCATGAACTGTCTGAGCAGACACACCAAAAATTGAATGGATGTGACTAGAGAATGAACTACCCTCTCACCCCTAAAAGTCATCCCACTTGATGAGGGTCGAGGCACAAAGGGGCGGAGGCAATCTTGAGAAAAGTTGCACAGAAAGTAGCAGCGCTGTATGTAATTATATATACCGTGAAATAAACGTGAATGGCATTCTGCAGGCAAAACAGTGTTCCTGCCCCAAACCTCTTACAATAGAAGGCCCTGATCACATGAGACTAATGGTCCTTTTGCAGGATTGGGGCATAAATTAAGACACAGTAAGATGAAGCTTCGCCTCATATCAAGAAAGATATATTAGAATCAGAAAATGTACAGAGAAGGACAACATTATTAGGGGTATAGAACAGCTTCCATATGAGGAAGGATTAAAAAGACTGACTGTTCAACTTGGAACAGAGATGACTAAGGGGAGATATGATAGAGATCCATAAAATCATGCATGGTGTGGAGAAAGTGAACAAGGAAGTGTAGTTTACCCCTTCACATAACGCAAGACCCGGGGTCACCCAATGAAATTAATAGTCAGCAGGTTTAAGAAAACAAAAGGAAGTACTTCTTCACACGGCACATTGCCAGGAAATGTTGTGACGTCCAAAACTATAAATGGGTTCAAAAAAAGAATTAGATAGGTTTATGGAGAGTAAGTGCATCAATGTCTATTAGCCAAGATGGTCAGGGACACAACCTCATGACCCTAAGCCTCTGAGATGCTCCAGGGGATGATGCACTAAATAACTGACCTGTTCATTCTCTCTGAAGCATGAGATGTTGGCCACTGTCGAAAGACAGGATACTGGGCTAGATGGACCATTGGTCTGGCCCATTGTGGCCATTCTTAAGTTTAACATTGGTAATGAGGAAGAGGAGGAGGACAAGGATTACAGCAGAAAGATCATACAGTTGTTTTCGTTGGTAACTTGTGTGATTTGAGGCCCCTCAAGGTTGTTTGTTTTAAAATGATGCCATCACTGCATAGAGAAGACTAGTACTTCTAGTTCACATGGAAGAAGCATTAGGGAGGCACTTGGCAAAATTCCTGTTCCTTGGATAAAATTATAACTTTCTTCTCCAGGACTGTGAATCCTGCATGTTTCATTAGCATTAAATGTGCATTTATTTAGATGGTAAGCAAGGATAGGGACTTCAGAATCATTGAAATGTTGGGATGGAAGGGACCTCAAGAAGTCGTCAAGTCCAGCCCCCTGCACTGAGGCACGACCAAGTAAACTTTCTATCAGGGGCTTGAAGCAGACATGGTCTTTTTCTGTGTATATCAGTGCCTAGCACAGTGGAGACTCAATCCCTGACTGTGGCCTCTAGGCACCACCACCATAAAAATAGTAAACAACAACAGTACTAATACTACTACTTAACAAGGGGGAAGGAGGAAGGCAAGCAGTAAACACTGGCTCAGTGAAAATTAATAAATAAAACCATACCTTTAACAGCTCAGGGAGAAGCGTTCTTTCCTTTTTATCACTTTTCACACTGATGGATTCTTCTTCCTTATTTGCAAAGCTGAAAATCAAAAATAAATTGAACTATTTTAAAGACCTGCATTAGGCAGAGCTACTTAACACAAGAGGCACTGCATCATGCAATTTAAAAGCAAAGCTGAAAGGTACGGTATTTGTTTGTTTGTTTTTGGTTAAAAAAAAAAAGAGCACATTGCACATATCTACTCTTAAAAAAAATACAAAATTCTGCCTGCAACACTGGGACTGAGCATGCTGAGTTGCTGTATGGAGATGGTGCATGCACAATATGTGCATGGCACACTGGAGCTATGAGGAAACGGCACATGCTCAGTGCAGATGGAATCTTCAAAAACTTCAGCTGTCAAACTAACAAACCTCTAAACATGTCCAAACTGAGATTTTTTCCAGACAGAAGCTTATAACTTGGCCAAATTTGAGTGAATTTTCACAGGGACAGCAAAAGGCATAACACTGACACCAGGGCGACCACTCTGCTAAAGTTTAAGTCCTTGTTCCAAGGCAGGGATATGCTAGAGCGTCTCGAAAAAATTCTTACAAGAAGTTTGTTAACAAGAACAAAACCAACATACTTTCCCCCCTATTCTTTTTCTTGGGAATGGCAGATAATTTTTGCTTAAACTTTCCCAAAAAAATTCAGCCTTAGGCAGGCAATTGGCATGAAAATTTCAGCCCAAACAGTTTAAGTTACAAGCAACTGAAAACAGGGTCCCATAATGGGAAGTGTCAGACAACCTTAACTATAGTCATTGCTGCCTGTTCTTCCTGTAATATGCCAACAATCCAAACCAATCTCACTCTTACCTTCATTCCCCTGCATGCAAAAATAGGGAAGAAAAAGTTCACTTGATGGCTTCTCAACAATTTGTGAAGACAGTCTTATACCAAGGTACCCTGTATTTATGAAACACTGTGCTATAGTAAGATGATCATCATCTAGTGTATCTCTTACTCAATAAAGCCTTCTCAGTCTACTTAGATTCATACTACAGGTGAAAGGCACATTTCTGTCACTGTATGTTTCTTTATATGTAAAAGAGGATTTGAAAGTTATTGGCTTTTTGAAAATAAGGAAAAAGCCTCTACACACGCTTCTTTTAAAATAACCAGGAATAGTGAAGTGTCTTCTCTGGTTTCATTGGAGAATTTAGAAAGCTCTCTCAGTTAACTGGCTGCTGGGCCATGTGCGTGTCTAACTCTTTCACAAAGAGTTTTACTCCCAGGTGTTTGTCAGGAGTTTGAGTTAAATGTGTTAAATACACATGTGTTTGAGTTAAATACAAAAAAATTGTCAACAGTCTGACTAAAAATCCCTCCCCCTCTCAATTGCTCAGATTTCAAAAGTCCTCCAACAGAAAGTAAACAAGACCAGCTATTTCTAACTTTAAAGAGCAGTATTTAGCCATTAAGCCTTTTATGCAGAGACAGAAAGAGCCATTTCTTTTCTCTCTTTCACAGGTTAGGGTTAAGCTCAAAAACAACTACAGTAGGATCACTATTTTAAAGTATTTTTAAACACTTGTCCAGAAGTATTTAGCTCATTCAACAGGCACTTTTTAAGCACATATATAAACGGAAAGAAATAATAAAATTAAAGATTTAGTCCACCCTGCTGCATCTCAGAAAGAAAGTTTTGATGGATTAATACTGTATCCCTATTAATTTCTTGTCTTGCCTTGCATGTGTTCCATGAGGAAGATTTCACAACCTCCTTTAGGCAGATCATCGCTCCATAATAAAAATTCTTTACTGTATTTAACCTAGTTTCTCCCCTCTTAGGGCAAAATCCTACTCTCAGATCTACATGGCTTATCTTGATGCTGATATACTTGATGTCAATAGGAGCTCCCTGCATATAGCAAAAACTGAATAATGGGGTTGACATCCACTACAAGAGGAGGATTTTCCCCTAAGCCTTTAGGGCACTGCTTCTTATGGGACCAATCTGGATTATTAATAAAACTCATCCTGTCTTTTTCTTATGACATGTATTTATAGCCCATTAGAATCCTACCCCATCATCATTTTTCCTCTACCCTTTACCCTCTCCTTCATAAACCATGTTTTCTAAAACTTTTAGCATTTTTGGCTGCTTTTTTACAGACAAAAGGCAATATCTTTAAAGTATAATACTGACAGATACCAGATTTATTTTGTTCTAGCATCAGCCTCGCTTGGACAGGGTACTGTAGAATCCTGCAATATGTGCAGTGAATCAAGAGTTAACTTGTGTTTAGTTCTTAGGCAAATGTCTTAAAATAAACAAAGTAGAAAAAACACAGCTTTACTTTCTAGCCACATTAAAAACAAAACAAAAACTTTCCCCCACCCTCCAAAACTAAACCTGAAAGTTACCTTATTAAATTAGTCTTTTTTAAAAAATCTTCTATGTGTTTCAACATTCTAAACCTTCTGCTTTAATCAGTAAATAACATTGTTTTTACAGAGCCCTTGGTACATACTAGATGAGTCACACTGTAAATAAATAAATAAATAAATAAATAAACAAACCGATTAAGCACAAAAGCTCTCTCTGCAGAAAATGTGGCTCTTGGATTGTTTTGTTTTCCCCTGAAAGTTGAGACTACCTTCCAAAGCAGAGAACAATAAGTGTGTCCCCGCTGATGTCAAATATTACATTTAGGTCTGGAGAATAGTCCAGTTATTGCTGAGCAGACCTTTGATAACCTAGATTAGCATTCTTATATTACCACAAGAGAGAACTTGAATTCAGTGTTTTTATCATCATTGAATGTCATGCAATTGCAGCATCTGCAAATATTGAAACATGCAACCCTATTTTCAAGGCAGAAAAATAGGTATTAAGCATTAGTTGTACTTTCACAGGAAAACTACATAAATTCCTTCTCTACTGTGTTCAAAACATAGGTGAGCTAATGTAACTGTTCCACTCCCATCCTCCTGTTGCAATAGAACGACCCCTTCACACAGCTGATAAAACATACTATAGTAAAAACTGTGTTGTCCAGCACTTTACCAACTTGAAAAGTCTACAAACCGGCATTTCTGATCTTTAACAGGGTCCGGTTGGTGCAGGGCCGGCAGGTTCCCTACCTGGCTCCGCGAGGCTTCCTGGAAGCTGCGACAGGTCTCTGCTGCTCCTAGGCGGAGGAACGGTCACAGGGCTCCATGCGCTGCCCCCACCCTGCCCTGCGCGTTGGCTCTGCAGCACTCATTGGCCGGGAACCACAGCCAATGGGAGCTGCGGGGGTGATACCTACAGGCGGAGGCAGCGCGCAAAGCTTTCTGGGCACGTCTCCGCTTAGGAGCAGCAAGGACATATCGCCGCCTGTGGGGAGCCGCCCAAGGTGAGCACTGCCCAGATCCGGCGCCCTGAAACCCCTCCTGCACCCAAACTCCCTTCCTTTTAGCTAACCAGAATTTTTGACTTACCGACACCCCCCCATTTCCCCAACATGTCCGATAACAAAGCTTTTACTGTACATATTTACATACAATAAGAGTGTACATTCAAGAGATATGAAGAATAAAGTAAGTATGAAGTTTATAATGACATACTCCCCGGCAATTTATATGTACATATGTTTTGCCAGAAGCTGGGAATGGGTGATAAGGCATGGATCACTTGATTACCTGTTTTGTTCATTCTCTCTGGGGCACCTGGCATTGGACACTGTCAGAAAACAGGATACTGGACTAGATGAACCATTGGTCTGACCCAATATGACCATTCTTATGTAATGAAGATGCCCCAAAATTATATGAATCTATTTCAATTCTAACTGTCAAGTCTCAGGAAGTTACCAAATTCCATTTTTCAAGCAACATTATAATTGCTTTACACTGATAGCATGGACAAATGAAATTCTGACCCAATGTATTCTAGGTTTCATTATTTATAATACTTAATAGCAGTGAATATTCTGTAAGATATTTTGTAAAAATAATGAACTCTTAGTAATGTGATACAATACACCACTCAACTATCCTATCCTAGCTACAAAGTGAGAACAGATGACTGATGGGTGGGGAGAGGGGTTCACCAAGAGCATTAGGGAAGTGTAAATTCACAACATTCTACATTTTTTCCACATATGCTGTTGTAGTCACGTGGGTCCCAGGATATTAGAAAGACAAAGTGGGTGAGGTAATATCTTTTATTGGACCAAGTTCTGTTGGTGAGAGAGACAAGCTTTCGAGCTTACACAGAGCTCTTCTTCTAGTCTTTCTTTCAGTCTCACTACATCCCCATCGAAAGTTTCTCTCAATACAGCTGTTGTACCCATACCTACTTCTTTTCTTAGATATTTTGTTCATATAACGATTGATCCTGCAAGGCTCTGAGCCCGCTGGCACCAGTCCATCAAAGCACTTAAATATGTGCGTATCATTAAGCACGGGAGTATTCCCATTAAAGTCAAATGGGACTACACACATGTTTAAAGTGCTTTGCTGCATCAGCTCACAGTGAACACTCAGAGGTTTCAACACTTCCACTAAATAGACAAGGAGAACTGATCCCATGAAACTATGACTTTTTAATCAGCCCTGGTTCACAGGCTACTTTATATTGTTTTTAGAGAATTGATGACAGGACAGTCTATTAAACAGATTCAAACAATCTGTCTGGAGTTAACAGACAAGCTTGCCAAAACACAGTTCTAAAAACTCAAGTGGCTACAGTACCATGTCTCAGGATATCTAAAAGGTATCAGCAGGTTAAAAGGTGCAAAGTGGTGCACCCATACAATGTAGCTATTAGCAGATATCTAGTACATTCGAACTAGCTTTGCGCTGCCCCACAGGTGCAAACTTGCCCTAAAGTTGGTTTGGCTGGTCTGAGAAGGATCACTTCAGTGAAGAGAGATCATCAGGATGCCCAGAATCATCATTATAGTTACTAAGTCACCACCCATGACTAGCATAGCGGGTGTCATGGAGTCACTGGGTCAGGTCCAGGCCCCAGCCTGTCACCAGTCTCCTGGGAGCGACCCCTTTAGTGTGCTAAGCCCCAAGGATTCACACAGTTCCATAGGGGCA